ACCTTGTGGAACGAAGTTCCAGCCAGTGTAGCCCGCGGGATCATTGCAGCACTCAAGCCCGACCACCACGTCAAGGTGGCAGCTTTAGGTCGGGGCCAAGCGTTTCAGACTTCACTGGCACAGGGAGAAACAAGGGGTATCTATGGACACAGACTTTCCCAGGAATGACAATTTTGCTCGTTTACAAGGTTGCAGATTCGTTGTAGTTCGGTTGTAAGGGATTAACTGTTTCCTTCTGCAACATCCAACTTCTCTGACAACACCTAATCGTCTATTCAAAGGATCGCGTTCCACAATAGAACGCCGTCCTATGATTCGGGCACGGGAAAGTATTCCCCTGGTTTGCAACGATAGTTCACTATGGGCTGAACAACCCGATCCTATTCGACTTATACCCTCGTCTGCATATCAATTTAATTTTGACGGTAGACTCACCTTGAACCCAGCTTAATCTCTCGTTTATGGTGTTTCTCATCTTATAGTTTAGTCTTGTTATACTTTATTATACTTTGAGCTCCTCACTACTAATCTGGTCATGCTGTTTAATGCTTTTGAACGTGCTAATTAGTCCATTCGCGCTAATTGTTTTTATTACGTATTTATTGAGAACATATGGCGTTTTGGTGGCCCGTTTATCCGTATTATCGGTGTGTTCCAACTTGCAAACACGTGTAGTGAATTTTCAAGTGATAAATGTGTGCTTTTGTGCTTAGACACCCTAGTTTGTGTCTGGTGTCGAAATGCTGGTGCCAAGCCGCTCCTATTCACTTGCTCTAATCCTTTCATTTTCGCTTCATCCTTTTTCTCTTTCGCTTGGCCTTTAACCTGATATTCGTGGTGATCGAAGTCCGTCAACATGGCCTCGTGTGGTCTACAACAATCTTGTTTGGATTGTTCATCTAGTGAAACTTGCAACAGACTGGAGTTTGACGGTTCAGCCACAGTACTCATCATTATCAAGGTTGTCTTCTGCAGCGCATCATTGTTCAACACAGAAGCTTCGCCGCCCTACAACCATAATTTATTTGAAATCTTGGAGGAAAAGAATGAAAACGGAAAAGGGACTCAGCACTACCCTACCGCAATCATTCCGGGATGCCCATACCTCCAGACACTCACTCAGACAATCTAGATAGAAACTGACAAAAAGACTAACAGCCATATATTGCGGCGTCTCCAGCTATGCACAGAAGGATCCTGCAGACCTCATTCTTTCGAATACCGGCAAATCGCTCCGACGGTATCCAAACTGACAAAAGACTAACAGCCATATATTGCGGCGTCTCCAGCTATGCACAGAAGGATCCTGCAGACCTCATTCTTTCGAATACCGGCAAATCGCTCCGACGGTATCCAGACTTCTCGAATTGGCTTTCGTGCCTCTCCTTCAGGTCAGACGTCGACCACCTCTTCGCTGGTGTCACCAAATTTGACACGAGAGACAGCCTCCCTTTCGGTCGATGGTCGTTTAGCTTGCGAAACACGTATCCAAAGCACCACAGGTTTCAGTCTTGGGTAGATTCTTCGAGCGGAGTCCCCATTGCACAACAGAATACTCGTTTTCTAATAGTCTCGTGGTTTTCGCTTGCACCAGTCTACGCGAGCTATGGTTATGACAATATCAATAGATGACTTCTCAGTTTTGGTTCTCGCAGAGACCACGTCTCACAACCGTAGGACAAATCACTCCGTACTATAGCCTGATACACATGCCTACTGAGATTCAGGGAGATACCGCCTTGTCGCTTTAGATATCAATTTATTAAGCCCTACCCGAGCTTTGGGCATTCGTGCATTGACCTCATATGTCACACTACAATGGGAACTTATACAACTTCTGAGACACGTAAAATGCTTCACAACCTCGAGTGCCTCTCTCATTGGACTGTAGGTGGCATGTTTAGTGAGTGCATCTCAAAGATCCAGAAGTTTAATTTAGTGGGCGAAAAGAGCATATCAAAAGGCGGAGTGAATTCGGTCAGTTCATCGAAAAAACACTGGTGCCTTCTTTTCCTATTCGTCTGCATATTCCAGATCGATAAGATTTTCGTCAGCCACTTTTTGAGTACCAGGGTTTTGAAGACCTAGCATCTGTCTCATCTCGTCCATCACAAAGTCGAATAGGAATGGAATGGGAGGCCATCCTCGTCGGACACCAACTTTTGTTCGGAGGCTTCTGGATAGCTTTCGGTATACCCTCACACACCCGGACGTTTGTGAATTCATCCTATTCACAAGCTTCTGGGACATTCCTTGCAGGAGAACCGATCAGTGAGCATAATCAAACACTCCTTGGAAATCCAGATTGTCGCCCATACTTTTGGCGAACGCACGCGTATTTGACGGAGTGTGACTATGTGGTCAAAGCAATCCCTACTAGGTCTAGACCCGGCTTGCTGCTCTCGAGCCAATGCTTCACGGACCATTATAAGGCGACGAAGGACAGGTGATGTCATGCGTCTCTTTGCAGCCTGATCCTTCTTTGATTAACACATTCGCTACGAGTCCCTTTTTGAAAACGTGCTTTATTACTAGCTCTCCTCGGTTGTGTGAGACAATCTTGTTTTCCAAAATGGAGGTGAATAGATCAAAAGGTCGCTGGGGGCCTCACTCTAATCATTGAACAATGCAGGTTGGAGGTAATCCAGCCCAGGAACTCGGTGGCCCTTGGGAGAACAGATTCCACTCCATGTCCATCCAAGATGTACCAAGGCTACCCAGGTGTATTTCAGATATCTGAACTTCTCGCTCGCCTCGGCAAGGCATTCAAGACGTCGTAAAACTGGTCATTGGTGTTGTATGGCAGGGGTATAAGCAGACAGGACAAACAGGCAGTGATCAACTTCTCATTTATGAGACTTTCACATACGTTGCTAGAGGAACCGCACTAATTCGACTACCAAACAGGTATCCATTTAAGCAGGGAGCCTTCCGCCCGGTGACTTCAAATGGTGCCAACCCCTGCACTGCCTGTCGTGTCGGCTTTTCGGTAACCAGAAGTGCGCAGCCAGAAGCGAGTGGATGGCAGTGGGCTAGTTAACTAACCGACTGTGCTTCTATTCTAAATTCTTGTTTCTGATACCCAGTGTACGTGAGTGTTGACCGAGTTCAGTGTTCAAACAAGAGTAGCCTGTTATCTTGCTTTTCTATAGTGCGAGCATTAGAAACAGCCAGACAGATTGGGCGTCAAGGCTTGAAGATGAATTTCGAGATGCCCGAGGCTGTCGTTGTCGACAAGGTCGGCAAGATCGGTGTAAGACGAAAGAGGTCGTCAATTCTGACAAATGGGTTTGCAAGGAGGGTATTATTACTGGGTGGTGTGAGGGAGAAGCAAAACTATGTGAAAGAGGAAGAATGGAGGCGTCAGCAGGGAGTTTTTTCGTCCTTCATGTGAAAAACAACTTCGCAAGCCGACTGTGTTAGAACTTCTGTGAGGTCTTTGGAATTCTATCAATGACCAGAAAATCTCGACTGCATTGATCGAGTAAGGTGGTCACCCAGGACTATCAGAAGAACGGCGCTGCTTGCTGTTATTATTATGTACAAACTATTTGTGAAAATATGCTGTTCGGTCATCCGCAGTATCTCTGAAGGGATTACCGTCAAATATCACCAAACTATTCACGCGTGAGCCGCCAACTCGTTACGTCAGTCGGTTGGGATATTGCATCTTCAACGGCATCCAAGCATGCGATCATTATGGGGATTCGTTCTTCCCTTGTTGCTCTTGATCCGCACCTCGATAACCATGGCTCCGTTTTATTGAATGTTTGCGCAATCTCAGCAGAACCAAGTTTGCCTATTGGATTCGATTTGGATACTGATTGCTCTAATTAGCATAGCTGATCAAGAGGTTGCGTTTGATTACCAGTGGCATCTTTGATTTAAGTAGGCTTCTAACCAGCGAAACCAAAGCATACGACTAATTTGGAACCACCTGTTTTCAGGTGAGGGCACACAGAGCCACTGGTTGTCATGTGACTTTGAGTCGCCCACTTCCTCGCCTACCTGCGAATGGATAAATGATTCGGATAATTGGCTCGCTAACTGGCGTCCAACACAAACTACTTCAAACGGTACTGTTGTGTGTACACAGCCTTCACCGAGAATTCGTGGACGTCGCGTTAATGGCGCACAGTCTACCCACGAGACTACGGTTTCCGTCCGTCTGTTCAGTCCACCAATCATCACCACGGATAACTTGAAGTGCTTAGCGTTCTCTTTTATCATGCATCATAGTTCTTCTGTACCACCCAGCCTGGCACTACTCAAACGTCATGTGGGGTGAGTATCTTTTTTAGCCTGCCTTTTTGGTGAGACGATCTCCTAATTACTCATACTGTCGACCATTTGGGGGTGTTTCCGGAAACGTTTAAGTCTTTCAACCGCAATGTATCTTTTCGTGTTCAACATAACTGATCATTCTCTTAGGGGAAGAAACATCCTGGGGATTTCGATCTACTGACTGGAAACTTCGAATTCCCGAAGTTTGAATTTTTAGTTTTCTGCGCTCAGACTGGATATGCCAGTTAGTGATGGTTACCCTAACCAGAAGTTGGTGAGAAAAAAAACAAGGACGTAGGTGAGCCGCGCCATCAAAGTAGATTGGTTCCGAATGAAATCAGTCAAGACCCGAAATTCAATGCGGGAATATTCGAATTTTGGAGGTTGGAGCGGTGGAATGCTGTTTATCATGATCTTAGTAATCAGCGAACGGTTTTTCACTATCCAGGGCGAGATGGCTTAGTGGTTAGAACGCGAATTTACTGGCTGGAAGGTCCGTGGTTCGAACCCGACTTCTGCCTTTCGACTTCCCCTGTATAGGCTTGGGCAACCTGGCAGTATCCCAGCCCTCATGTTTCTTTCGGGTGGCATGACAGCTAGGCATCGAAAGGATGTTACACCTGAGCCATTTCATTTCTTTTCTTACCATTATCCTACGAAGTTCACCTTATTTTGCTTCACAGCCACTGTCTTCAAGGAGTTGAACGAACCAGCTCATCGCTGCCTCTTCGAACACGATATGTGTGGCTGGACCAATGATCAGAACAGCTGGGAAGGTCATTGGCAACCGGTCTGGTTTGATGCGCTGTCTACCAGAGCTGCCTGTCTTGTCTTGAAGTCTCCCACACTTTCTCGTTCTTCTTGGTCAAGAAGAACATTCAGCCATGAAAAAGTGACAGCACGTGTGATTCAAGCTCGATTCTGGAGTCCAGCTATTCTGGCTGAGGATAACGTACATTGTTTGACTTTTCAGTATACCATAGAGATCCAAAATCTGTCTCACTCTTTGCCCATACCGCTGAGACCCGTCAATCAACAGGGCTCATTAGCTTTATTACGGCGTCAGCAAGGGTAATTCGTCCACTGTCGTTTTCTTGTTGGCTAGCATTATTCGCTTTAATGGGAGAATCCATCAACACTAGCCTTCTTTTGAATGGTATTGGCGATTTCAATTGCACTTCCAGACCTCCGTTTTTAAGTTCTTTTTCCTTGAAAGATGGGAATCCTTCGCTTTAGGCCAAACCAGCCCTCTCTTTCGTATCCTTTCCTTTATCTGGAGCGGCTGGACCAGAACTAATAAACCTCAAACTTAAAAATAGAAACGGTTTGTCGTTTCAGCTAACTCTGTCATCAAACCGGTGTATTTTTGTCCCTTCACAAGTGGAATGTGTGGCTGGAATAATGATCTTAACAGCTGGAACTATCGCTGGACACTTGCACGCGAACCGTCTGCCGCAGCGTCCTCTCCTCGACTTTATCCATCTTCGGTGAACGAATCGTACTGTTGCTTTTCGGTGAAACAAACCGAGATGGCATTGAACTCTCCTGTAATGACCGATGACTATTCAGCTTGGCTAGTCACTCCTCGCCCAGCTAGAGTCCAACTACCACAAACGATGGACTCTGAGAGTGTTCTTCAGTCCCGTCTTTGGAGTCCAGCAATTCCCGGCACCATGCAGTTGAAGTGTCTGGCTTTCAGTTTTCATATCAAACTTGGTCGTGCCATCAAGGGTGTGAACTCCAAACAGGGTGCCACCTTAGCATTACTGAAACGACAAGAGGGGTGATTATTTTCATACAGTTAGTTATTTTTAGTTAGTTATTTTCACTGAACTAGCTGTCACAGTTGAAGAAGTCTACAGCTGTTAAAATGCCGTTTTTGTGGACTATTACTGACCAAAATGTGGATCAGCCACCTCTATTAGAACCTTTAAGTGGTCGCTGTTGGCTTTCGTGTCACGTCTCCCTAATCCAATTTCCTCGGAAAGATGTAACCGTTCCCATTAGCTTTACCCACAAACACTGTCGTGCACAAAGAGGTGGTGCTTCTTAGGGGATAGAATGTGACTTGTACTAACATAAACTGTGCTCTGTTGGTTATGCTTCTATTCCTCGGGCTTTCAATTGTTTTTTACCTCCCTTCACCTCTTTTGACGCCGAGTACGTCATATCTGACCAACACTAGTCGCCAAGATCACCTCGTTCCTCTTCTTCAGAAAAACTACCAGTGGATCCCATTCATGTGTGCTCGTTCCAGTCTGATACTTGTGGTTGGACGAACGACCCCAACAGTTGGAAACATAGATGGGAATTGGACAGGTTGTCAGTTGACGATGACCAAGCTCTTTGCCTATCGTCGGTTTCGAAATTCTCATCGGGTCCGATATCCATGGCGTCACCTTGGGATTTCGCTTCGGATGAAATGGAAGCAAACCGTCCGGCACATTCGGGTCCCATTCAAGCTCGTCTTTGGAGTCCACCAATTCAGAAGCGTCATAAGCTAGGTTGTCTCACAGTGCTTTATCAAATTCACGGTAGTCCAGCTACTGCTATTGTTGATGGGACACAGAAGCCAGATGCGAGCCTTGATCGACTCGGCTTGGCTCTTTTGAGGCGTCAAGAAGGGTGATTCTTATGATATAGTTTACTTCCTCTTCGTTGCTCGATTGACTCCTCATCAGCTTCTTGAATTGGGTCCAACTATTTGTGGTCTTAGTTTGCGGAACATCGTTATCAGTTTCCCTACTCACAACGTGTACTGTACGCTCATCATTGGAACCGGGTGGTCGCCTCGTAATGCTGGGTTCGAGATATCTTAGTGATTAGGGTGCGAAGCTATTATCGGGAGGTTCGTCGTTAAGATCTACCCTTTGCGCATCGATGGCTCCTGTTGTATTGTGCGGTGGTGGCCGAGCTATTGGTTACGCCTGCACTGCGCCTGCCAGACTACGTGATAGGGAGAAGACAGAGAACTGGGGACACGGCTGTATTGCCAGGACAAAACATACAGAGCTTCTGCGTAAATATATATAGGATGACTAATTGGCCAAATATGCTCGTTCACTTGTTCGCTCCGTACAGCCAATGGTGGTGTTCCGGTCGTGAACATTCTCAGGCCCACTACGCTGGTCGTGTGTTGCTAAGCCATGTTAGGTGGGAGCCGTGTTTCGTGGGTGCCACCAACTCACCTACTTTCCGGACGTGTCGAACCGATGGTGACCTTGGGGATGCGTCACTCTGTGCACAAGTGCTTTTTCTTCTGTTTGGGCGCGCCCTGACAGCTCCTACCTAGGCGTGAACAGCCTGGCGTTATCTCATCCCTTGATCCACCTGCTACATCACCGCCACGCCCCTAAAGTGTTCCACGGCTGAGCTACCATTATTCATCTGCTTGACACAAGAAATGCCACTGGTCTTTCGGTGTACTAGCCTAGTAGTCGGTTGATTGACGAAACATACCTATCCCATATGCAGGACATCAGTGTCCGCCAAAGCCCATTGGCAGTTGGGTTGTTTCCATTTATACCGCGTACAACTTTGGAAAAGGACTGACCGCATGCCATTACTTTTTCAACGCACGGATCTTGCTGTCCAACTTTGGAAACAACCACAAGCGATTTGGAACTGGCAATTCCTTAGTGCTCGCAGGTGCATTTACGTACGATACGTGTCCCCAGAAAACGCGAACAGTACGTGCAGCTGTCGGTTCAGCGCATTCCAAACCATTGATATGTCTTGAAAGAGTAAAGTATCGTGCAACTGGAAAACTCTTGGCGTCATTATTGTCCCAGTGAACGCAAATCAGGATGGTAGCATCTGCTGACGGATAATGATGAGGGGACGCCGTTCTTGTGAGACTGTCTGGTTCTGAGGTATCTTAGTTGCAAAAGAAAGCAGTCTTGAATGATGATGTGTTTCGGAGCGTATATTATCGGTTTGTCACCCGTATGGTTGGTGTGAGAAGATATTTCTGCGTTCGTCCTTCTACACCTCATTTGCCAGCAAGCCGAGAAATATGAGTAAACCTTGTCCATTCAGCAGGACTAATCATAGGTGTACTCAAACTCTTGGCTTCGAAAGAAACCATACGATACAATGTGCTTGCTCGTACAGTTTCCCCGATGATAGTGTTGTTTTCTAAAACCGGGAAGGTGAAACTGTAAGCTTACTGCTTCATTCTCCAACTGAAAGATTCACAGTGAACGTTTCGTTCCTTTTCTCAGAGATTACTCCGATTCACGTGTGTACTTTCGCATCCGATACATGTGGCTGGACAAACGATCAAAACAGCTGGAAACATAGATGGGAATTGGATCCGATCTCGTTCGGAAAAAATCAAGCCCTTTGCCTGTCGTCAGTATCACAAGTTCCAACTTCAGTCGCATTGCCGTGGGCAGTTTCCGCGGACGAAGCGGTGCTGGACGCCTTGCACCATTCGAGCCCTATTCAGGGTCGTCTTTGGAGTCCGCCGATACAAAAACGCCATAAGTTGGGGTGTTTCGCGTTCCTTTACCGAATTGATTCGAAATCTCATATTGTCAGTGGGATACAGGGAACGGAACAGAGCGATCCTCTTCCGGGTTTGGCTGTTTTGAGTCGACAAGAGGGGTGATTATTATATCTTATTATTTTCCTGTTGATCTTTGATACAAAGTTGTACTGCTACATAAGTTCGATAATGAGCAGCTTTCAAGCCGACGTTCATCCGTCTCCTGATCCGGACAAGGTAGTAGACTCGTTGTGTGATTTGGTTCGCATAACGACGCGGATTGTCTTGCTCGCATCCTCCTCATCACACAAACGTAGAATGTCAAGTCTGCTGGTAGCTTAGTATGATTTAGTGGAACGACAAACATGGAACAAGAGGAGGGGTGTGGAGCTACCGTGTCACAGACACCCAGGTTACCCACATATTCATTGCCTTTTCAACCTGGATAATAACGGAGACCAAAAACACTACTCATATTGGTTACTCTTCGTATCCTTCAGTGTGCGGCCAAACACAGCGAAGACCACGTGAGCCTCATCCTGAAAACTGGATCGCATTGATGGCACCAAGGTTTCTCCCGTCCTACCAGTTCCTTAAGGACTTAGCCCTCAATTCGATGCCATTGCCTTTCCGTAACACTGTCAGTGAAAACGAAGGTGACAAACACTACGAACATCGTAGTGCTGTCCAATTCATGTTCGTTGAATAAAGAATGTACAGATGTCTCACTCCTTACGTGCCTATCTTTTCTAACACGATCTAGCGATTTAGACTGCTAATGGGTACTGCGTTATTGACTGCGCGCACCAATCTCGATCACTACTTTCAGAAGCCTACGTCGTACTCATATCCTGCACGTGACCATGCAGTGAATTGATGGTCTGACCATATTGTTCTTTACAGAGGCTCGTGCCATTCGACAGTAAAATCGCTGTTTTTTGCCGTTTAATGTGAACATCAAACTTTGGTCTTCGAGCTCTTTCCAATTTATGCTTGAGCCCGGGCTAACCGTCTAACTTTCATTTTATCCGTAGCTCATCCACAAACTAAACCACTGCACGTGTGCACGTTTGCAACTGATACATGCGGCTGGCTGAATGACAATCAGAACTGGAAACATAAGTGGCTGTTGATAGCCGACGAAGCGGCGCCAGCAGTTCATCCGCTAAATCATGCGTTGTGTCTCTCTGCTACTTCGATTAAGGACCCGATCGCACCTTGGTCTCGGAGGATCCTACCTGATTCTCGGAATGTCATCAATACAACATCAATTCAGTCTCGCTTGTGGAGCCCGCCTATTCAGCGCGGAGATGGGTTGCACTGTTTGAAATTTTGGTTTCGAATCAGTGGCCTCCTAAAAAATCATGGAACCCGGGACCCATCTCTAGCTGTCCTTCGTCGCCACGAAGGGTGATTATTAGTGATCATTTATTCATTCTATCAAGTGACCTAGCTGATGGATTCGAAAGCTAACATATATTTAGGCTTGGCTGCCCGGGTAAAATTGTCGCAAATATTTGAAACACACACTGAATCCAGTGCGATCTAGTGATCATTGGTCTGATATGGATGTGGTTTGGTAGCAGAGTTTTCCGCGTGGGATGTTCGCCTTGTTAATGGGTTTTAAGTTGAATGTGGTACTGATTTTATTGCCTATGATGATGCGACATGTGGAGCAAGTAGCTTTTCATTTTTTACTTTAGCCGGCTCGTTGGTAAACCGCACGAACATATGTACTTTCTCAAGTGATGCATGTGGCTGGATAAATGACCCAAACAGTTGGAAGTACAGGTGGATACGAGAAATTTCCGAACCACATCAAGATGATCACGCGTTGTGTTTGTCCGTATCATCTCATGCCAGCTCGGATGCCCCCGCAAGGCTGACTTCCCAGTTCTCCAGTAGGACTGCATCATCGTTCTTAAGAAAAGTCAATACTGGCCCCGTCCAGGCGCGTCTGTGGAGCCCACCTGTGCTGTCGGATGATCGCCTCGGTTGCCTCACATTTCTCTATCGAGTTGGTGGTATTATTCGGAAATCGAGCGATCCTGGGCCACTGTTGGCCTTGCTACGTCGTCAAGAGGGGTGAACCAAAGCTTACCGTTACAATACCCATCTGTTCTGCAGTACTTTCTAGTGTAAAGTGGACCATTTAAGGTTTCTGCGAGTTTATGGTTCTTTAGGCATCCATCCACGATCTAATGGATCAAAGTAAAATGAGGATTCTGACAGTGTAGGTAGTTTTTCCGGCGGTTTCCGGATTTAAGCGTTCTTAAAATCAGTTGATGGTGTTTCTCACAATTGGGCATGGGACGAATGGTTAGCCTTGATAAGGTCATTGATTTCAGCTAGAAGTTGGACGGTTAATTAAATTCCTTGTTTCCCTTTCCTTCCTAAGTGATAGAGTTACGGACTCTTCAACAAACTCGTAATAACAGTGAAGTGAACGCTTTCGCTTTTCCTCATCCGTGGTAATCCGTTGTACATCGCGCGATAGTGTATCTCTTCGGCATACATAAGCTTTCGACCTCAGTGTCGGCGATTCATACTTCACGTAGTTGGTGTTTCCTGTTTTCCAAACAATACAACGCCATAAGTTTGTTCGCAACCCTTCTTCTCTGCTTCTTTCTTGCTTCTTTGCTCCGGCTGCTTTCTCCATACCTAACCCACTAGCTTCATGCTTCTCTATCATATTCCACCATACTTGTTCTGTGTGTCCGTTTTCGTCATATCCTTTCCTTCGCATCATCTGGCTTTGTGAGCTTCCACCAGCTGTCCTACCTGCTGTTCGAGCTTATCGTTCGTCGAATGTGTGCAGCGGAGCACCATCCTATGTGATCTGCGGATATTGCGAACCGATTTCTGTGTATTGGAGAGATGTAGCTTTACCTGGTAGGGTATCGTAGAACAGCGTTCGGCTTTCGTTGCATTATTCTTTTCCATTCAATAGGTTGTACTGTGCAGTATTGACCTAACCCCACAAATGCTTTGCGGATTATATCTGCCTATGGTGAAATTTTGAATGCTGGCTAACGTTTTTTCACCCAACCAGCTGCTGCAATCATCACTGTGTTCCTCTGTGACACGTTTGATACGCTCATCTTTTCGGAGACATAGGGACTGACGTACACTATTTCGCTACACTTTTGTGTTGTAGCTTCATCTGCGCGGGATCCTTATGTGTGCACTTTTGACAAGGACACCTGTGGATGGTCAAATGATCCGAACAATTGGAAATACTTGTGGAGCCTAACTCTAGTTACGGGAACCTCACAAGTTCCCCACCGGGCTTTGTGTCTATCAGCGTCAGCAACGGGAGTTAGAGGAGCTGTCTCACAAGGTCTAACTCCATGGGGTCGCGTTATTGAGACGCGTGAACATAAACCCGATTTGGACAGCGAGTTGTCCCAAGTGCGATTGTGGAGTCCTTATGTGACCCAGGATGATAATTTGGAATGTTTGAAACTTCTGTATCGAATCGAATCTGGAAGTTTGAAAAGTTCGTCTTCTATGCACCCGACAGGGCCGTCTCTGGCTCTGCTAAAAAGACATAAAGGGTGAATTCCCCGTTGGATTTAATTCTACTAGCTATCGTTGCTATGATTTGAAAAGTTCCTACCGGTAGTGCCATCCTAGATGTAACGCAGATGCGCTGAACCGTTGGGCTTTGTAGCAAGACTCGAAGTTCGCTTTTTTCCTTTTCACCCCTGCTTCTACTCGATGCATTTCTTCTTGGTTCTTCGTCTTCAAATGTCTTGAAGCATGTCCACTTCCTTCTTGCTTCCTCACCTAGTGGTCTCCATGTCTGTCTCTGTCAATTGCCAGCCGAATGCGCTCCCTGCATCGCAGTGCGAGTGGACTGCCGATCCGAACGACTGGGGTCACTATCGCTGGCGCATGGAGCAAGTTAATGTGATAGAAGGACAGTCACAAACGGCTGACAGATTGGATCAGCGTTTTCTTTGTCTGCACAGACCACAGACACTTCAGATCACGGGACCACTGGTGTCTCGGATGTGGAGCCCATCCATAGGAACCGGACATCCCTCTAGTTCTGAACCAGTTCACGTATTGGAGAATGAAGCCGAGATCCCGCAATGTCTCACTCTACTGTATCGTGTCTTTCCCGGATCTGCTGGAGTGCCGGATAGCTCAACTTCACCTACACCTCAGTTGTCTATTTTGCGGAGACAGCGTGGGTGAGAAATAGCGGACACTCACCTTGGTGGATATTTCTTCTATTTGTTCTTACATAGGACGGCTTTGGCACCAGTAGTACACACTTTCCACACTTATTAGTGTATGTCCCTAATTGCTGTCCACAGGTACGACCAATCGTCATTTTCCTCTGAACTGTGACTTCACAGTTCCCTGTTCCTGGACTGTTGATCAAAACGACTGGGGTGGTGTCAATTGGGAACGTCAAACACTATTTGGCGAACGTCTCGGATCTCAACCGGAAATGGTCACCTGCCTGAAATCCCAAAACGAACTGCTGGGACACGCCGAATCATTGGTTTCGCGATTATGGAGTCCTCCAATTCGTTCGCTTAGCACAGATGTAAAATCCACATCGGCAGAGTCAACCTCGCCTCAGTGTTTGCAATTTTCATACCAGCTTCACTTTGGAGAATCAGTTACTTCTCTTCCGGAGAAAGAGCCTAGTCTTTCCCTTTTAAGAAGACAGCGAGGGTAGGGGGTCGGAAGTGATAATTTTAGTTCTATCATAGCTGTGCATTATAAACACTGAGCCTTATTGCGGGTGGTTACAACTTAAGGAGTCTTCAGCATATTCAATTAGTTTTATGGAGGTCTATTCGAAGGGATGGGCACTTTTCTTGCTAGGTTGGACTGTCTATCCTAATCTGCAATTCAGCCTAGCCAACTTCGTTCTGGATTATTGGGACAATGTGGTCTTCATTTTAGCGCAAACAATGAAGATGGATCCGTCTTTTCCGGATGTACTGGTTATCCACCGACCATTGGACTGCAATTTCACTGACTCGTTCTGTCGCTGGTCTAATGATCAGAACAATTGGCCAATAAATTGGGAACTTCGTGCAGTTGACCGGAAAATTTCCATCGGAAATGAGTTATGCCTGAAAGTTCCAAGTGTCCCTCAGAAAGCAGATCTCTCCGCACGTTTATTTGGTCCTCTGCTTTCGGCACCGGACAACACACGTTGTTTGCGTTTAGCATATGTCGTTCATCCACACCCATCGTCTTTGAGTGGGCTAGATCGGGCGGGTCCAAAATTAGCTCTAATGCGTCGGCAAATGGGGTGAGCTGCTTCACTGACTCATTCGGCTTCTGACTGTGCCTTCTTTCACATGGCTCTTATTAGTTGAACCGTTATCTTTTTGCACTTGATGGGCGCTGTGTCAGGTTGGTGCACCTACGTAACTTACTCTTACGTTCCACTCTTACGTTCGTATCATCGTACCGATCGCCTTCCAGGTCATCCTTCGGTGGGCACTCCGACGTCACCAGCTGAGCGTATTTTGGATTGCAGCTTTACCGAATCTACTTGCAGCTGGGCGAACGACCCCAATAACTGGCCAATCAACTGGCAAATGGCGACAAACCAGGATTCTCTATCAAATGGAGGGATGGTCTGTTTCGGGCAACAGTCCCTCATTGGAGGCATTCAGAAGGTGGATGTGTCTGGTCGCCTCTTCTCACCACTCGTGTCGGCCTCAGCTGTGCTTCAGTGTTTGACCGTCCGCTACCGTTTAGTTTCAGTTGCTTCAACCGAAGAAACAGAGGAAATTGAGGCCTTTCGTCGTATACCTAAAATAGCTATTCTGCGCAGGCAGATGGGGTGAGGTTGTCAGCGTTAAATGTGCTTTGTCATTACATATTCCTCACCACAGTACTTTCAACCGTCGACATTAGGTGACCTAAGGAAGTCTCGCACTTAACTGGGTGATCTGAGCTGACACTCAGCTGCAGTCAGTGCTTGCGAGGCCCCTATGAGAGCACACAGCTGTCGTTACTAACACAAGAATTAAGCCGGCAAGTCTCATGTGCTCTGGGTTAATTATTAACGTCGCAATTCAAAATGGGCTCTATCACAATGACTGCATGATTTATAACGAGTAGGCCTGTATCTCGAAGAGAAAGGATTCCTTGGATGTCCTCCTCCCTGAAGCTCACCTTCTAAAGTGGTAGTACAGAGTTTAAGTGTTCCGATGGCGAGATGGCCCAAGCGCGAATTTATTGACCGGAAGGTTCGTGGTTCGAATCCGACCTCCGCCACTCGACTTCCCCTGTCTAGGCTTGGGCAACCTGGCAGTATCCTAGCCCTCGTGCTTCCTTCGGGTGGCATGGCAGTTAGGCACCGGAAGGGTGCTACAGCTGAACGCTTTCAAGTGTTTCGATTTGCAAATCTAGCATCTGAAGCGTAGAAGAATTGTCTCATAACCAAAGGTCGCACCTGCCGGAGCCGTTAGCAAAACGATGATATTTATGCCCTTACTGGTGACGACGGTTCCGTTCTCCTTTAGACACTGTTCACACATGTTCCTCAGTTCTTTCCGCTGCTTTCTTTCTCCAACCGCGATAAGTCCCGACCAAGTTGGTCCCTTCCACTCATGGAGGTGCCACTGTGCAGCATTTCGACGGATTTTCAGACACTCACTTGTTTATTGGGATAGGATTGGTCACCAGTACATAAATACAGATGGACGCCATGCTGTTTCCTATCCATTCAATACCAAAGAACTTCACCTGTACTATCATCGTCACGTTTCAGGCTCGCCTGTGGAAGATATATCTGGTGATCTGTCTGCATTACTGCACTGCAACTTCGAAAGCCCCGAATGGAAGTTTTGTCACTGGACTACTGACCCACGTGACACTGGAGTTTTGTGGAGTATTTCGGAGGTCAATAACAGTGGAGCTGCTTGTTTATCTCCTGCGCCATTCCCACGTCTCCGTTTTGGACCACAACTATCCGGATCTGTCACACTCACTGGACGTTTGTGGAGTCAGACAATTTTTGCAGGCTTTCCTGCGTCATCGGAAATGCTTTCAGGTCATGGAATGGGAGCACCAAAATGCATCCAACTGAGCTATTATCTGCAAGCCACCAAAGACACACCAATTGTGATTGACAAAAGCGGCACCGGTCGGTCAGAAATGCGCTTGTCTCTTTTGAAACATTCGACTGGGTGAGAGGTTTTGGTCTGGAGGTCTTTTCCTTCGACTCTGCGTCTTTTTCGCCATTCCTCTCTTTGAGCCAATCTAGTCCTCTGAATTAGGTCGTCATTTATATGCATTCTACTAGTCTGGGAGTACTCCCCATCATAAGTGTAGTTCAATTCTTCTATTTCACAACCTAGACGCTCTAGTGGAACATAATTCTACTGTCAAACCCTTCATTCTAACGCAGCTTTGGTGATGTCCCAGCCGTTACAGACAAGTTTGCATAACACGGGCCCGGTCAATTGCACTTTTGAAAATGGGAAGTTTTGCGGCTGGAAGGATGACCCACGTGACGTGATTGCGTCCTGGCAGGTGGTGCGATTGCTAGACCCGCCTGGGTTTGCAGCGTGTCTGCAGGCGACCGGCGTCTGGGATCCCTCGACTACAGGTATATGAATAACCGTTAGTATGATTAATTTCATCCCCAGATGCGGTCCAGGCCGAGGGTTCCGCGCGTCTATGGAGTGGACACATTTCCCCAAAGTCTGGCACCCTGATCCAGTGTCTCACATTACGCTATCGTTTCTTTTCCTCTAAACCAGTAATTCGACTTGCGTTGATGCGGCATTCGGCTGGGTAAGCCTTTGTAGTTTAGGTCTTGAAGACCGTTAAACTATTTCAGCAGTGTGCGCTCATCGTTGGGGGGGGGGAATATCTCATCTTGTTGCACTTCACGCTAGTGTTGGGCCAGTTAATATGTTGTCCTAAGTTCTTACACCTGGGTTCCTATACCAGCACATAAATTGGGACTCCTGGTACTAATCCCTCAGCATTTCGCTGAACATTTCGGGGACTCCGTTGTGTATTAGAAACTCCATTCTATGGAAACCAAAACGTATAATAGAGTCATATATCTGTCACGTCTCTTACCGAAATAGCATGGTAATTACACACAACTGTCGTGTTTTTAGCCATTCACTCGGCGGGCGCGCTAACCTACCGGGGTTCCACTGGAAGTTACCAACCGCTGTTGGACTGTAATTTCACGTCTTCCACGTGCAACTGGGCTAACGATCACAACAACTGGCCCGTCAACTGGCGAGTTGTCAACAAGTCAGTATGTTTAGATCTGAAGTCAACCTCTGAAGTGGACTCGACACAGGGTGCGACGGCTAGACTGTTTGGTCCGCTGTTGAAGATATCTAAGCAGCCGCGATGTGTGCAGCTGTTCTATATGGTGCATCTGATCAGTGACACCAGTTTGATACCTGTCAGCGAACATCCAAGATTAACCGTACTTCGTCGTCAAATGGGGTGAGCACGATGGTGTTCTGGTGTAATCCCTTCTGATTGACGAGTTCAGATGACATCTTTTGAAAGGGAACTCTGGAGTTTCTCAGATTTTTCGGCAGGGAGCTAATCTATTGAACTATTTCCACGGTGGCTAAATCTTTTCTTCAGTCTATTTTGCTTTACAGTCCCTGTGGCAGTATGGTGGCGGGATGGACCAAGTGGTTAGAGCACAAATTTACTGACTGGAAGGTGCGTGGTTCGAACCCGACCTCTGACGCTCGACTTACCCTGTCTAGGCTCGGACAACCTGGCAGTATCCCAGCCCTCGTGCCTCCTTCGTGTGGCATGGCAGCTAGGCACTGAAAGGGTGCTATAGCTGAATGATTTAGTATGGTAACTACGTAAACCTTACTATTCACGGATGTGCCATTGTCTGTTGGATAAGGTGGAAGTTCATAGTGGCGAAATGTCATGTCATGTGTGGGCGCCGCCAACCATATGGCTTGAATCAACGAGAATGTGCTCACATGGTGCCCCAACTCCTCAACTTTGATCAGGCGGAGTATTCGTACCAGTCAATTGTTGCTTGTTTGGATTTTGACACTGCCGGGAGTTCATCGCCTTCACTCTTCCTGGAAACCAGCACAGTTCATTGCTTAACTGGCTAGGCATACTTTACAACACTGGCAAAATCACAGTGACAAAAATAACAACCGTTCCGGAGGTTTTTAGAGTAAGGAGTCTTCGCAATACTGCAATCGTCAAAGCCTATTTTGTGTTGTATAGTTTGATCTCAAATCAGTAACTACTTTCTACTTTCTACTACTTTGTGAAGCCAGATATCCTGAATTTGAACAATCCTCTCTGGATGGAGACCTCTGGACGAGACACTATAATGATCAGAAACGTCATCGCTTTCGAAGCACAGCCCACACAATTCCTTCCTTCGAGTAATCAGCCAGACCTTTTTGATTAACATCTCTACACTGAACTGATGGGGCCATCACTTTCAGTGTGCACTTTCCCAATTCTTACCCCTCTTATACTCAGCAGGAAACTCCAATAACGTGGGTCAGTATCGCTTTCTGCAATGTTGACAAATCAAAGTAACTGGTTTCTAGCAGCATTTCTGGCCAAGCGCCTTCACTTGCGTTTCCTGGCATGCATTCTTCGATATTCACTGGATTTCAACAGTAGCCCATGTGACTTAAGTAAGCGCAGGTAGCATTCTCCAAAATATCAGGCCAAATTGATGCGGCTGTTGTGAGACGTGTATTCAAATATTCCCCAGGTGGGAGTGTGGACGGCGTATCTATGAAACATACCGATACTATTTCCGAAGTTACGGCATCGGACTATCTCAGGTGATGCTACTGATCAACCTCAACTAAACCAGTGAGGTTCTATGGAGTGGCACCATTCAGCTTTGTTGTCTCAGTTTTCGTTCCGTTGGCTTTTCGTCGACTCATTTTTTCCTATGTTCCGGATGACTATGGTATTGGTTTGTCCTCCCTTAGAGAGCTGATTGCATCTGCATTGTCCGCGTACTAAGTTGCCCTAATAGTTGATATGTGGTTATGTTTCAGCTGTATATGGTGAGGCAACCTCCCGTCGTCAGAGAATTCGTCCGTCACACATTAAGGATCCTTTGAACTGTACCTATGAAGATGGTGATTTTTGTGGATGGAACGATGATCCTCGTGACGTACTTGCCTGGTGGGAAGTCACCGCTATACCGGACCGCTTCACGAATGCGGTTTGTCTGTTGGCTAGCACCGAATTGGGAGATGCCAGTCAAAGTAGATTGATAGTCATTTCCGACGGTTCTTTTCCATTTGCAAGGTTTCAGCCCTGTGCGTGCCAGGGAAGGATCCGCGCGTTTATGGAGCGGACAGGTGCGAGTGAACCAAAATGGATTGAATGCAGTGCAGTGTTTGCGATTTTCGTACAAGACTACACCGTTCATCACGAATAGAACTCGTTTGAGTCTGATGCGACACTCTTCTGGGTAAGGTGTCTGCTACGTACTCCTGCTTCCCATAACGCCGCGCCATGTCCTCATAGATCAAGCGTATTAGTGCAACATTGTAATGCCTGCAGTTGCCGAGAATCGCGTGAAATTACTCATCCTTTTCCGCCGCTTTCTTCCCTATTTCCAAACATCTTCATTCCACTTCCTTGAAGGGGCACACCTGCAGTAGAGCTGTATAAAACGTAATTCTGTCAAAATCTTCACATCATTCTAGGCTAACCATCACATTCGGATGTTCGCGTCTTTCCCCCAAGGTACTGCTCCGACTCACGAACAAACTAATTCACCGGCCGACTGCAGCTTCGATAAAGGTCATATATGTGGATGGATGCCTGACCCCAGGGATGGTGGAGCTCAGTGGACTGTCTCCAGTGTAACACTTGGCGAAGAGCATCCAAACCAAGCCTTATGCCTAGCCGGTACACCAGCACCGTATACCTTGGATGTTGTGGACGAAGGTGTGAATCGCGATCCGACCGCCACCCTGAGTGCCCGATTGTGGAGCAGAAAGTTTTACCAGCTCCAGAAGAACTTCCGTTGCCTATCTTTTGTCTTTCATGTCACCCATTGTGCTGATTTAGATAGGATCACAAAAGCATCCTCCTGTCCTCACCTTTCTGTCCTTCGACATTCTTCTGGGTAAGGTTCCGCTAACTCGTGAGCACTAGTCCGCCTCGGTTTACTTGGCAAACAAGGGATATTATTACGAATCACCTTGCTCACCGACCTATTCTCCGATGAATGAATCCCTATGGCCTATAGATGAGAATGCGATTTTTCGCAAAATCTTAGAGTTGTCCGTTCACAAGCGTGGTGCTGCGGAACGACGACTTGATGTAGTTTTCCAGGTAGCTCGGGTTAATTGTGTGAATGTTCGCCATGGCGAGTTTCCGGAGTCTGGAAAGTTCAGAAGTCAGGCAGCTTCTGAGACTGAAATTGTGGACTCGTTCACTTGATTTTGAACCGAATTTTCCTAATGTCAAGGTCTGCTGCACAAAGTCCTTGTATCATGTGAAAGTTTTATAGTTGCCTCGCGTCACAAGTCCCACTTCCACGAGGAGCAGTTGCTGTCGTCTGATGTATCCTTCAGATGCGCGGGTGAGATGAAAAAACGCCGATCTGGACAAACATCCTCCGTGCCGCTTCATCACAAAGCTTTGCTAAGAAAACTGACACCCCAGTGTAGCTGTTTAGCCCATTGGTTAGGTTATTAAGTGTAGAGATCTCTACTCTTCTCTGATGCCACAGGTATTCCCACGCATTGTGATTTATTTTAAGGGTGGGTCTGGTGCAGGAGGTGAGCTGTGCCAGTATTTCTATCACAGGATTTCGGTCGGTTGGGCTAATTTTCTGTTTGAATTGGTTGGGTTGTTAGGATTTTTATGTTTAGCTCTATTATGCACATTTTTGCACTTAAATTGGAAAGACTGGGCTCTTCGGATTGTCTTTTTGCGTTGTTTCCAAGCTGAGGCGGCCTGTATCTCTACGGGTTTTGTTGTGAAAAGTGAATTTAGGGAAAAGACCAATGTGGGTTTTTTGCAAGCGTATCCTCGGAATTTTATTCCTTTGTGGGCTGGTAAGTGCATTAGCCAAAATTACCCCTCGCGGCTTGCTTGTTAGTGGTAACGTAATTTTCGTAATTGGTCAACATAAAGCAGGCTTACTAATGCACCGTCCTTCATGCGAAAATAGCACTATTACGTCTAGACCTTCACCCAATTCAGGACAATCTAGAAGGTCACTATGCGGATAATGGGATGTCCTAGTCACACTCGTCATTGAGCTTCTGTTAGTAGTAGTTTACTCGAAATGCTTGTGCTTGATATCGCAAAGAAAAGTGTGGGACTGATTTTTTAATCACGTTGCGATCTCCTACGGTCGATTCGGACCAGGTGGTTAGAGCGCGAATTTACGGACCGGAAGGTCCGTGGTTCCAACCCGATCTCTGCCTCCCGACTTCCCCTGTCTAGGCTTGGGCAACCTGACAGTATCCCAGCCCTCGTGCTCCCTTCTGGTGGCATGGCAGTTACAGCGATCGTTGATTGATTGATTGATGTGTTTCTGTTCGGTAGTGAAAATGGATGAAAACTATTGTGTTTCGTGGTTGGCAACAATACCCCTATTAGGCTTCTTCGTATTATTGGCACCGGACACCCGAGACAATCTGGGCAGGAAGGCGTGTGATAGAAAAGAGCCCGACCTCGTGATTAAGGTCAAAAGAAGTACGGGAGCCGTTCATCTGTGTGGAATTCGAAATCGCCGAGAATGCGTGCTTCTTATGCTCTCGGATCGGATTACAATATCTGTTGACAAAGAAGGAAGAAGGTGCGGTCGTCCGCAAACAGCAAATTATCTGCTCCGAGGAAGGCCAAGGAAAATCGAGGGCACAGGAATCTAGGACAATCTAGGATGGGAAACAGATAACGTACAATGTATATAGGTGCATATTGCGCCCCTAAGATGGAAAATAGATAAATGTATAATTTTCTAGTCCGGAGTTTTGGGTCTCAGTGAAGTGCAGTACAGAGGTCGAGGTGGGGCACAATAGTCGGTTTACCGAGTTGATGTTGAGGCTCAATCCGCAGATACTATACACTGCCCTTTTGCCGTTGCTTGGGAGAGCAAGAAGAAATGTCCTCGTAGTTTGCATGTGGTGCCTGAAATACAGACATTGATTCGGTAACTGGAAATCACGAACCGTAGAAAGTCCCCTATAGGTTTGGCGTGTTATCTCCCCGGGCCAGCCATCTACGACAGGCTACCGATTTTGTGCAAGACATAATCAATAGTGAGTTGCTCTATCTTGGCACGGTTTTAGATAAGAGCCATGTCAACTTGTATTTCAACGCCTGTGAGCTATGTTCAACTTGCAGTGACGAATTTAATTTTGAGTGTGAATTTCGGAAGTTTTTTTCCGAGCGTGAAGACGTGGCAGGGGGCAATCATGAGTTGTCTGAATAGACCATTTGTTAGAATTCACGATAATGAGGCCCTAGGTGTTTCGGAATTTCAACTTTTGCTGAAGCCTTCTGCCTGTGGATTCTGAAAGTGCCCTCTGAGCGATGACATCTTGAGTATCTGTGGTCATCAATGACCATTTCAATGGTCATTTCAAAACAAGCCACTTATGGGGTTTTCCATTTCACGTTGAACGACTGTGATCTGGTGGTCCAGTTGATGAGGCTATGGATCTACATTCGGTCGACTTGGTGCCCTGAATGTAACTGCCAGTCACGTTTACTGATCGTGGCTTCAAATCAGGGTCAGTTCCGCGCACGTGCTTGTGAAGCTTCCATTCTCTCCTGCTCTGCATCCTGTGTGTGACTCGCGATTGCTCCAGGATTTACAGGGCAACTTGTCTTTGGTCAGAACTGGACAGACGCTTATGGCGTAAAAATATGGTTTCCTTAGGACGAGCATCTTGGGTCAGCATACTAAGGTTCTGTTTTGTAGGGAGTTTTCCGGCCATACCATGTGCACTGTGGAACAACCGTGGTGTTCCTGAGAACAGACTGAGGCTTTCAGTGCACATGTCCCCCTTATGGGCATTGTATACACCATATTGTGTGTATATTGTGGACTCGGTCACAACCCGTGGAGATCCAGGTGGACTCAGCCAACGCGCTTACACGGGACTATCCTCATCAGTCTGCCCAGTTAGAGTACTAATATGACAGTTGTTGTTTTTAGTCCGTCTTTTACGTAAACCTGTGTACGATATTTGTACAAGTATTGCGATTTCGTGCGAAAGCCCACAGACTGTGCCAAATTGGATTTTTGGATGCGACTGTTGCACGCTGGCCCTGTTGAACCTATTGCTTCGATTGGACCATTTCCACTCACCTAGGGCTGTAGCAGTGTAGCAGCCCGGGAACCGCAAGTGTGCATTACAATACAGTGCAACGCAGTCAAGCAGTTTTACACGAAATTCGCAATGTTTGTTCAAATGTTGAGATCACAAAACAGTCTAGCAATTTTGATTATTGATTATCAGTCGCATTATTTATGTTTCTCTGCATGTTACATTGAATATACATATGTATGTACATTTGTTGTTTATCCATACCGTTATATGAATCCTTATGCACTTTTCTCCCAGTTTAATTTCACTTTCCTATTCCATATTCCTCACTTATCCTTCAACTGATTGTTTGTTTGTCGTTGATTGAATGAGTCATGGCTACTAGCTAGCTAGTCCGCTTTGATGTGTGTGTGTGTCGGGCTGCTGTCCCATGAACGAATTGTGGACACAACACTGAATGAGTTGGCCACCAAAGTTAAACTTGTGTGACCATGTGTCGGCAACTCGTATCTTACTGGGACGAGGTTCAACACACGGACGAATTGTGGACACAACACTGAGTGAGTTGGCCACCAAAGTTAAACTTGTGTGACCATGTGTCGGCAACTCGTATCTTACTGGGACGAGGTTCAACACACCCCATCCAAAGTGTATCAACTAAGAATTTAGGGTATAAGTTATCATGTCATCTTTCTCTTCCTAGGCTTTTATTCACCTGCCGTTTCATTGACTGAACTTGTTGTGTCTGTCGTGCTACGATGCTCTCTTCCTGGAATGCTGCGGCCGTATGCGATTGTTGTGCCTCCAGATCCTATGAATACCCTTAGGACCAAGTGGGTGGAGCAAATTAACTTAGACAGGACCGTTTCTCGGCTCCAGACCTCCTCGCTCCACCTTGTAGCCCGTCTCCCATACGGGTGATCCTATGCTTACCGCAGTTGGCTTTATGTAACTGGGGGTTGTATTCTCACGGCACAACTAATGTACAATGCTTGTCGAATTCTCAAACTGTTCTACGCACTTGTGTTTTGTAATTTAACGCACTTTGGTGATTGGAAAGCTTCCGACACTCCCCTCATAGTTTATATAATTTGCGTAACATCTCCAAACTTGATTAACCAGTGACAGTTCTACTTTCACGCCATCTTTTTAATCGTTTTTTATTTGTGTTGCTTTGTGGTGTGACTCGCTTTGTATGAGTTTGCTTGATCTCTTCTTTCTATACTCAAATGACAGCGAATCGTTTGCAAAGCCATTGGCGTACGCTCGATATTTAAGCTAACGACCAATAGACGCATTCGACTTATAAATATTCCACAATATTACCGTCCGTCACCAGTTCACTGTGGTACTTGGTAGCTGTCTTTAACCTTATTGATCATTTTTCATCCGCGCGAAGATTGAACACGTGTCCTTTTCCAAACCTCTGTGTAGTTTTATCCATTCACTTTCACTATCCTCATTGCAACCGTTACAGTGCCTGCTTACATCAGGCTGATCAGAACCTCGAGCTAGGCGTCGTCATGCAGTCGTCCAAGTGGTAAGCCTTCTTCGCCTGTATGCTAATGCACCATTACGAATGGACGCCTCAACGTGTCATCTCTCGACTAACCTCATTGTTTGTTGTCGACTCAGCCGTAACGAGCTCCTGTGGACTGCGGTTCCGGAACACCGAACTACTAGCCTTGGTTCATGGAAATTGGCCTACACACCTGTAGTCCGTGTCACTGAAACGAACGCCGACGCAGCAGCGTTCAAGGTGTTTGAATTTCCCCTGAAAAAATTTTCAGTTCATTTTAATACTGAAACCATTTTCCCCTTTACTGGTCTCAGGCATTTTT